TCTCAGCAACCCAAACTCTCCTAGTCTAAAATAAAGCAACAACAAAAACAAATAAATCTAAAACAAAATATTATAGATCAATAAACATGGAATTTATCTTTCATTGAAGATAGTTATGGTAAATTGATAGTATATAAAACTGGAATTTTTCACTTCTCATAATAATTGGCTAATGAGTTGTTTGCAGGTTATTTATTTATTTAAAAAAACAAAACAAGAATGAGTGATAATAACTTATTTTATGCTGTACCCCAAAGGTCTTTTAGGGTTTTTTAAAGAATTGGCAACAGATCTGTCTCTTCAACTCACAACCGAGACAAGAGAGGTACTCACAAGAGCAGGTGGTATCAGGACAAAGGATTCAGGAAGGTTTCTTGATTTGGAGGGTAGTGGGGTAGTTCCTGACATGACTATTTTCACTTTCTCCTCATAATGGACTTCCAGTAAATCTGCTCCTTAATTAGGAAATTTACTACGTATATTGCCCAATTTTTTTAACAAACAACATCCTGATAACCCTTAGTGTAGCTGTACCTTGATTACCTTTCTATCTGGCAACTCAAAAATTCCCCAGAACAAAAGGGCACGCATTTACTTTCTCTTCACATCTGTATTGATCTGGGTTTGCAGTTAGTGACACTGCCACTTCCAAAAGTAGACAGACAACGGCACAATGTAATTTCATTTCTGGAAATCTGCTTTTGAAAGATTTTTTCTCTAGCTTTAAAAACCATCCTGGGAATGAAGCATGTCATGAAAACTCTGTTATAGGTGAACTTTAGTGCCAAGATAAATGCATTTTTAAATCTTGTATGAAAAGGTAAATTCCATATTATATGAAAACTACAGAGAGGCATGTCATTTCAAATGTGCTGGACGATCAATGTTTTGTGGGTGTTTGTAGAAAAAAACAACTGTTGATATTTGATTGTCTTTAAATGTGTCAGTTATGCAGCAAAGTCAACAACCTTTTAGGATATTTAGAACTAAGATCCATTGAGATAAATGGGAACTTTTAAATACAAAATTGCACTGTGAATATACAGATTCAACTCACTTTCTAGAATTGTGACATGTGGCTGTCTGATTCATCTACAATTGGCTGGTGGAAATTTAGATGAAGTAAAATTAATGCATACTTTAAAAAATAAACACATCAGTTTCCTACCTTGCTCCTAATAGACTCCAGATTTCATGAAAATGTGTTATTTGCAGGATCTAATTTGCCTTCTATGAGCCCAGTTATAGTTTTCCAATTGGAAATTGCCACATTTGAGTAACTCATTAATTTCTCTGCTTTGTTCTAAAAAAAGAATCATTTCTGATTTTGACCCCACCCATTAGGTCTACCAATAGCAAGCATATAGGGCAAAGCTCAAGTCCTAACTCCACTCACTGTTCTTCTCCCTCTTGACCTAAAAATAACC